AATTGAATTGAATTGAATTGAATTGAATTGAATTGTCTGCCAAAATCTTGAAGTCTTCTAAACAGAAATATATATTCTGGTCCAGGGTTATCATTTGAATAAACACTGGACAGATTAGCAGGCTTTACTCAAATGAAAATTTGCACTCACATATCGTGTACAAAACTTTAAATATACTTCACTTACACAGACTATAGGATTTATCATTTAGTGTAAAATTATTATTATTTCTACTGATGCCCTTGAGTAAATGCAAAAAGTGTAAATTTCTTTTGTCAATTATTCCCTTTCTCTGTCTCATTAACACACAGGGGTGGCTGTAGCTCAGGAGGTAGCGCACGTCATCCACTAATTGGAAGGTTGGTGGTTTAGTCCCTGGCTGTCCCATTCTGCATGCCAAAGTAAAGTATCGTTAGCGTGCAACCCTCAGGTTTTTTTCTGAATTGTTTATTGGACTGTGAATGTGAAGCAGAAAGAGAAGAAAAAAATGCTTGAATGAGGACTGTTGTATAAAGCCGTTTGAATGCCCCAGTCAAGTAGAAAATACTACGAACGAGAGTTTACCATTAACATTAATTCATGAATCTCATTGCTTTTTGAGAAAGACTCACATGGGATTTTAATAGTCTTCCTTTAAAAACCAAAAAACCTATGTGAGTACTGTATATTACACGGTGTACACCAAATGTTCGGGGCCCAGCACCTGCTGTGAAGGAGGAAAAAGAGTTCAGCTGTTCCACGAAACAGAATTTTTTTTTAGCAATGTGCTTGTTAGTTTTCTCAAAAATGTGGTTTTGCTATTGCTGTGGTGGTGGGGTGTGGTTTTGGCTCAGCTGTGGGGAGTAGAGGTGGAACAGGAGATTCAGGGCTCAGTGCCAATCAGAGACTGAGTGGCACAGCTGTGGCACATTGTTTAATCAGTCTCTCCTATTTATGCAGCAGCATGCTAGAACCCCCGGTAAGCACTGATGGTGGCCGGTGTGATAGAACCCATCAGATGATTGAGCGACCTGACACTGAGTGCGTGCGGCCGGCCAGCCGTGCCAAAGTGCCTGAGCATATGAACACTCACACTGGAGTGTGAACTGTTGTTGTAAATGAAGGCACAAGGAGACAGAGCTGTACTACACTTCCAGCAGTGTTACGGTCATGCAGGAAAGAACTGCATGATTCACACCAAACGATCGCAACTGTCATTCAACTTGCTGTAGTTTCCAGTGCTGTGCGTGCAGTGTCAAAAGAACTGTTATCACTTTCCTAAATTTACTTATTTGTATGTCCTAAACTAGATTATTTTTATGTTGGTCGAGTCAGTCACTGCTTGCGCTTCCTCTAAGTGAGGACTGATGGTTTTTTCTTTTTTTAAATTTGAGGTTTCTTCTGCTCTACTCTTATCCAAATTCTGACTCCATTGTCTTCCATGCTGAATCTCTCAGTTAGCTCCAAAAGACACAGCAAGAGGAGGGTGAGAGGCCCGACTTTCATTAATCCAGGAGCCGTCAAACACATTAACGCTACATGCCTTCAGCAGACTGGAGTGAAGCTCTTGTAGGTCTCAAAGTTCAGCTGAAAACTTTGCCATTCAGTTGCAAACAAAAGGACAAAGGGTATGCAGGATTTGTTTTTGTTTTAATTAGGTAATAAAAATCAGGGGATAAGGTGCAAGCTGTGATGAATATATGATGAGAATTTATTTTATAAAAACAGAGAGAAACTCCTTTGAGTCATCACATATTGGTGTTAATTAAAAGAAGGATGGTTGTAAAAGGGTAGGTGCATTTATAGATTTGAAAAGGAGGAACATTGTCAAACAACATGCTCAAAAGCAAAGATAGACCCGATTCACCGGATGATCGTTGTCAAGGGTGGTTAAGTAATTTTCTAAGATTGGAATGAAGAATGAGGACCTAAATCTGGAAGCAACACATCATGGACTTGTAATATGCGTCAGATGATTCACTGTCAGGTATGAGTAGAAGAAAATGATGATACTTGCACTGATAAAGCTGGATCAGCCTCTTTTTTTGGAATACTTATTCACTGTGGACACAGTTAAAAAAAATAAATTAAATGAAGTGGGAAGTTTTAGTTGAAATGTGATTGCATTTAGCCAGATGAATAAACATTAAGAGAAAAGCAGGAAGTAAAACAAGAAGCTGTCTTCTATCATCAGAGTTACAAATATTGGCTCAGTTTTTTGAGTAACTGAGATAAAAACATAAAAACAAACTGACAGGAGAGCTTCTAAAGATTTGAAAATCAACTCAAACGTTTTAAAAATGTTTTATCTAACAAAACAGAGGTGCTGTGGGAAGAAAAACACAATTTGCATCACTAACAAATTAATAAAATTTTGACTCTATTTTGTGAAATATAAAAGAGTGGGAAAAATAATATCCTGTCACATTGGCACATCTTCAGTCCTCTCCTGCTGAGTGGATTCACAGCTGTGCAGCGAGTAAAAGGCTTCGCCTAAAATAACATGACCTTTTACGTCTGAACTAAAGACATCTGAGAAAAATAACTGGACCAGAAATCCAGGTACTGATAACAAATCAAAGCTTCTCTTCTACTAAATCTACCCAACGTGAACAAGACAACAAATGAGTTAAGGAGCAAAGAATCTCTTTTCAAAGTATGTTCACAAGTTATTGCATTCAGAAGATTTTTTCAGAAAACTTGACCTCTAACTTTGAGGTCAAGGTCACTGAGATTCCAACTTTTTAGATACACCTATGGCATCAATATGAAGCTCCTACGT